CCATCGTAATTAAAAGATCATAGAGTTCAAAGTCGTTTGACTTCAACTATTTCATTGTTTCGGTGTTACGTATCATCATATGGGTTTTTTTGACATTGACGTCAATTACGTTTATTGTTATAGTGTACTAAAAGACACTTGCTTGTTTTTATTTAATTGTAAGAGTAATAAACGAGCACACAGTCCACCATAAGGTAAGTGAATGCTGTGGCCCATAGACATATTTATCCTCGATCAAGTATCAAAATGCAAATGCGTTGTCACCCCTGAGGACCAAGATTAAATGTCTCACTTCCAGTTAAATAATTTCCTGGTATAACCTTGTTTAATTAAATTACCTTATAGTATTACACCTTATGGTAAGTGGCTACGGGATTCAATTTAAAAGGAAGAAGGCTACACATAAGCATCTGAAGACTGAGATGGAATACCTTACAATCTGTAATAACACTGGCTCTCTATATCCTCACTCAAACACAGCAGTGCACGCTCTCATGCTTGGCGGCAGGAATAAGAAAAGGATAATACCTAAGGGTAGCAGTCTCAAGGATGTTCCGGTTCTGTTCCATAACGGAAGAAACGCCTCTGCACATCCTAACTGATTGCGGACCCTTAATGCGCAAACGTAACACTCATCTGGGAAACTATGTACTCCGCCCAGAAAATATGAAATTGCTCACGGCCAAACAACTTCTTTTATTCATTGATGATATAGAGCTTAGCAATTAACTATAGCCATAGCAGCGAGCACAATCGATCTTTTAGGTCGTAGTGATACTGGTCTCCTTTCCCTAGACCTGCATAGCTGCTCGCACATACAAAGTAGTAGTCCTACCACTACTTACCTACTAGTAAAATAAAAGCACTCAGGAATTACTAGATTTTATATCGCCATATAAAAATATCTGGACTCACTCGTGTCATAAAATCAATAACAGTAGAGTGGGAAAAACTGTTAGAAATACGTTCATGGAACACATATGCACACTATCTGCATCTGTATTCATTTAAATTAATAATTTAAGACTGTGTTAAGTGTTATCAAATCAACAGTGCACTCAAGACCAGACCCATTCATGCTTCAACTATAATATAGGTCTCGAATCCGCCAATCGAATACTGTGGTGACCAACTCTAACTCTAGTATTTTTAGGCTTACTTATAGTGATTAACGCTAGTATTAGTAATGTTAATTAATAGGGTCACTACAACGGATAGAATATAACGGAAAAGGTTATAGGAGGACATTATGCAGTATTTAACAGATAGAATAAGTTTATTCTTGCAAAGACGTTCGGGAACCATTCAAAGGAAGTTTATCCCGAGCGCGTTTCATACAGATGAAGTTTTATGTATGGACTGACGAGGATCAACGCTACGGTAGGGTGTTATTCCCTTACATGTTGATAGATGATATAAAGGTCACTATTGTAACCCCCCCCCCCAACATAGAGAAAAGGTCTATAAAATATAAAATAATATAAATTACATGACCAATATAAATAAAATATTGATCTTTGTGAATTATCTTTCTATGGGTTTAATTATAGGCCGTTTGCAGTGTTTATGGCATGATTGTCTTAATTACTTTACCAACTAGGTGTCTCTTGGAGGAGTGGATATTCACCAGAGCAATCGAAGGCCGTTGGTAGTGGGTAGTTGGGAATATTAATATTTTCTATAGTCGCCACGCTTCACAAGCGGGCTGGCAACCGCGGGTTTTTTATTCGTCATTAGGAAGACGCTGCTGTTCGTCTCCTGCTTGTGTCCCTCTGTCGCCTCCTACGACACCCAGGGGATGATATGGGGTAGTGGATGTTCTTAAGCTAAATTAAAAATATATACTATATTTTTTATATTAAAATTAAATAAAATTTGAAAAAAATTAGAAATTTTTTGGATTGGAAAAACACCAGACAATATATAAAAAATAATGAATATCGTTTTAACTAAATGAAACACATATTTAATGTAATAAAATTATCACTAAATTACATAATAGAAAAGTTATGGGGAAAGGCATTGCATAATTTGTGTTTTCGCATTTCCCAACAATCTTTGGCTGATGACCGATAGAGATAGCAATAATACTGACAAATACCACACGAGAGAATGCTTTCTAGAAAGACAAGTTACTTGCTTTCAGACGCTGTTAAATTATATCATGATCTTAATTATGCAAAACCCAAATAGGATATCACGAGTACAATTTTTTTTATAGAAAAAGGATGACAAATCAGTACACAGTCCAGTGGACGCTGTGGCCCATAGACATACATTTATTCTCCATCAAGAGCAGATGTGTCGTCACCCCTAAGGACTAAGAAGGAATACCTCGTTTCCAGTAAAAAGGGTTTTCGGTTCACTACTCACTATTCACAGCAGTATTAACTTACTGTTTAACGCTATTCTATCAGGACATGGTCCTACCCCGGTCTAGACTACATCGTGCTACAACTTTAATATACCTGTATCGTACCTCTACCACGTAAGTTTGTAAACTTTAACAAGGATTATAAAAGCGTGTTTATTCTTACACTTTATAGTTGAAAACATGTTTATTTTGAAAACATGTTTATTTTGTATCAATGGAAAATCTTATTAAATTTAATAACCGAGCGGAAAGCAGAGGCAATTTACTTAGAAATCGAAACCTTCGTTGAGTGCGACGCTTACGTAACTGGATTTTGTTTTTTAAACACGCCAGACGTGCACAATAATCCAAAAATATTTGTGCGATCTAAAATCAACTCAACGACACTTAACAATCCAAATTTAAAAGTTAATTACGAAAACAATGACTAAATAAGCTATAAAGCGGGTTGTCGCACTTTTCCTTGCCATAAAAATGCTCTTATATAAGCTGTAACTCTACTGTAACTTTTGTTTTTAGTCGTAGTAGTCTTTACAATGTTAGTTGTTGAACTAGAGAAACTGTTGTTTCGAGTATGAGCCACAGGGTTCACTTACCATTGGATGGATTGCGCTTGTCACTTTAATTAAAAAACAAACTAGTTGTCTCGCCACGTTACGACTACGAAAAAGCATCGCAATTTCTAGTCAATCACCATTCACACCTTTTGCTGCTATTTTACTTTTTTATACATTAATGGTGACAAGTAAGCACACAGTCTACCTAATGGTAAGTGAATGCTTTGGCCACTAGACATAATCGTCCATCTTTCAGAATTAAAATTTAGACGCGTTGGTACCCCTGAATACTAAGAAGTGTAAACATTGTGCTGCTACATATTTTATTATGATATTCTCTGAGAGCGTGATCCTACCCCGGCCGAATCGACTCATTCGGGCTATACCCAAAATATAACTGTAACATAGTTTCATTACTTCACTTTTAGAATAAACTAATTAAGTAGATATATGATAAGATTAGTGTTCTTCCTAGAAGTCCGTCCTTGTGGGTCGTGGTCACTATTACCTATTTCTGCTATCAACGAGCAGTGTCTCCACTGCTGCTTCCCGGTCTGAAGGGTGTGGAGAAACAGTAAAATTACAGGTTGGGTAGCATTTAATCGTCCATCTTTTAGAATTAATATAACTGAAGCGTGTATCTACCGAAGTACAATAAATAAATAAATAACTGTTTTTGAAAGAAAAACCGTTAATAATACGTGGTAATTTTATACGTGGTAGAGCCATGCTGCAATTATATTAGTAGTATAGTTGTAGCACGAATGGGTCGACTCGACCGGGGAGGGACCACGCTCTCACAGAATACCAGCGTGAAATAGTAGCTTAATGCTGCTGTATTTCGTATGGTGAGTGTAGAGAACCGGAGACCCTTTTTACTGGAAATGAGGCATTCCATCTCAGTCCTCACGGGTGACAACGCATCTGCATTTTGATTTGTAATGGAAGATAGATGTAGATGTCTATGGGCCGCAGCAACCACTTACCATCAGGTGGACTGTGTGCTCGTTTGTCACCCTATCCTATAAAAAAAAAAAATAATAATTATCTAGTTACTATAGGTAATATATGTATATTAAGATATCGTATTATGAAAATATCTTCAACCGTGATACTTTGTATACATGTAAACAATTTTTAAAACTTCGTTTTTTGTCCAAATAATTAACGTAACTGTAGTGCTTTAGTAACATTTATATTTGATTAATTTTAGAATGGATATTAATGTTTAATACTCACTGGAATCGTCTTTCTGGACCTTTTTCGTACCTAGTCGCGACACCCATCGGACCAAATAACTTCATGGATTATCTAACGACGCTAACATTTTCTATCGTATCTTTCACGGCGAGTGCTTTTTTGTGCGGTTTAAGGGATTTCTTCCTCGTACAACCTCTCTTTGGAATTATGTACCACCGACGATTTTTCCGGATTGATACAAGTTTATAACTCTTAAGAGAAGAACTCAGTCCTTTCTAAAATACCGGCAACGCACCTGCAATTCCCCTGGTATTGTAGTGTTCATGCGCGACGGTAGACACCATCAAGTGAGCCGCATGCTCATTTGCCCTCCCTTCTATAAAAAATAATTGTATTTTAACTGACTTCAATAAATCAGGAGGTTGTGTATTCGACGAGTGTGTGTTTTAAATGTGTCTTCACCGATTTCTCGGAAACGGCAGACCCAATTAAATTGTCATCAAAAAATTCACTGAAGCTTAAAAAATATAGAGTAAAGTTTTTGTTGTACCTATTTGGATAGCATTCCAGTTGTTCCCTTGAGCTTGTGATATAGCTGAGTCCACTCACAGCGGTAAAAAATAAAATTTAATAAAAAAATTTGAGCAGTCGCGGGACTTCTGGCAGATGTAAAACATCGAAATTATTTTGTACAGGTGATATGCAAAAAAGAATAGCACTTATACAAAAAAGTGGCATAATGAAAAATAAAATATTAAAAAATTTTTCAAGAAAAAGACGACAATTTATTTAATAAACATTTATTTTCATTGAATACAACAATTAAAAATTCAACAAATTTATTTTTATATTGAGACAACTCGATGCTTTTAATCAGTGACTTCTGTAATAGTTTTACACGATGTTGCATCTGACGATATTACTGTGACAATTGATCGATGATAACTCAATTATGTTATAAAAATGTTAAACATAACATTATTAACGGGGCAACCACAGAAATCTATATAATGTGGGGGGGGGGGGGGGGCTACGCGTGCCTTGGCGATGTTTCGCTACAACAATAGGGCTGACCCGCCGTTATAGATGTTTCACATCAAATATCAACCTTAAAAATTAAAATGAGTAAAATAATTAACACATAATAGCGGCGGTGCTAAGATATATCATATCTAAAAATGAAAGCCCCGAAGAAAGCTCAGAAGCAATTAAGTTTTTGAAGTCAGTTTTTATATATTATTAAAAGTTTAATATTCTTTTCTACCATAGTAAGAACATAATTTATTTTAAGATTTTAAAACTGCACTCCACTGAACCTGTAACCACCGCGCCCCGCCAACTAATTGCATGGGTGAGGTCTAACGACAAACCCACCACGGTCGAAGGCAATATAAACGAGAGTATAATTATAAAAATATGCTAGGTTTAGACAGTGAAAAGTTTAATAATATTACCTTAAGAATATTTAAAATTTCATAGTAGTTTTTTTTTTGTAATTTTCGTCAACTTGTAGACGACCGATTAACTTGAAAATTTGCATTGATGACAATGCAATAATTTACTAATTTTGTCCTAGTATCCTGATCAAGATCACTAGGATAAAATGAAATAATTATCAGGATCATCACAGCTCATGATCAAAGCGTGTTAAGTTTTGTTTTTAAATATTATTATTTAAAAAAAAGTATAATTGTTTATAACTATAGATACTAAATATCTGAAGTAAATAATTATACTCATTATATCTTTATTGAAGAATTAATGTATATAATACTTATTTATAAATATATAACATGCACCAAAACTGACATTGATCACTAGCCCCTAGGATAACTTGGATATTATGTCTGTATTTCAGAGGTTATTTTTCTTCCTTATTCTTAGTTCTTATTACTATAATTTGTTTGTCAATATTTATTATATTATATTTACAAGCATTATTTAAAACGTAAGCTATGACAATTTAAATTTAAAAAAATGAAAGTAATGTTGGCACTGTTGCAAAAGCTCTGTTGTAAAAGGAAACGAGGCATTGCATCTTAGTCCTCAGGGGTGACAACGCGTATGTGTTTTCTTAATTAATCGAGGATAAATGTAAATGTCTATGGGTCACAACATTCACTTACCATCAGGTGGATTGTGTGCTCGCTTGTCACCCTTATTCTATAAAAATAAATCTTCTGTTGACGTAACCGCGCGGAAGTCAAATTTGTTATTATCAATGAAATTATTCCTTTCAATGTACCGTATTAGTCGTTAATTCACTAACATTTCCAATATGTCGAACAGAGTACAGTTTGTAGTTTAATTTTACTTCTTAAGTTGTGTGTTGTTGTTTTTTTTTATTTAATTGTATGCTTGATTAAATAGAATTAGTGGTAATGTTTTTTTAAAGGGTGTAATTCCTTAGGGGATCCCTTTTGCATGTGTCCAATGTTCTTGGACCAACGTGTTTTATTATTTTCCAAGCTTCTTTATTACTTTTGCATTACAGCACATGTAGTTTTTCTTTGTAATACTGCCTCTTAGAAAATTTAATCGATTTTATAGAGTTTGCAAGAAGTTCTTCAGGATGTAATTTTACTTTTAGGTGCATATAATTTCTTTTACGTCACTATATTATGGTGTATCTATATAGTTTTCTCATCTGGTTGGGTTCTATAAATATATAATTATAAATGAAAATGAAAAGATAAATATACATAAATATCAATAACATAAAATAAATATAAAAGTACATAAATAAATAAAAGCCCAACCAGATGGAGGCCCTCGGCAGGGGAGACCAAACGGCCGAGGGTTAGGGGGAAAGGGAAAGAAACCGGCGGACGATGCGGGCGGTATCGAGGAGCACCGCCTTCTGCATTTGAACCTGGAGCGGTCCGCCACGTAGTCCCAGCCGCCTCAGATGACCCGAGAGGCTGACTGGGATTAGCCCGTTTGCAGAGACGACTACAGGAATAATTTCGGTCGGCAGACCACCCCACATGTCGGTCACCTCTTGAGCCAGGTCCAGATATTTTGTTTGCTTGTCTGTTTCGGCTTTCACGAGGTTCTCGTCATACGGAATGGTAATGTCGACCAAAAATATCCTTGACTGTGCCCGGTCCATCAGCACAATATCAGGCTTATTCGCAAGAATAGTCCTGTCTGTGATGATGGCCCGGTCCCAATAGAGCCTGGCGCGATCATTTTCGAGCACGGCTTCCGGCAAGTACTTGTAATACGGCAATTTCCGATCCACGAGACCGTATTTCAGAGCGAGCTCTTGGTGTAGAATTCTGGCTACTAGGTTGTGCCTGTGCAAGTACTCAGAGTTAGAAAGCGCCGAACAACCGGAGATAACATGCCTAAGTGACTCACCGGGATGGCGATAAGCTCGACAGATGTCGACGGTGCCATCCTTTAGGATGTATCTCCGATAGTTGTTGGTCTTAATAACCTGACCCTGTATTGCACAGACAAAACCCTCGGTTTCCCCGAAGAGATCACCAAAGCGTAGCCAGTGGAGGGAGGCTACTGTGTCTACGAAAGGCTCATGTAGAGCCTTGTAGAACCTCCCGTGGAGCTCCTTCTCCTTCCATACGGTCTCCCGGTCGGAAATGCTCTGCACTGCCGGGTCTTGCCATTGCTCGTTGGCTAAGGATAGAGGGGTAAGTCCTTTATCACAAGAAATGACGTCCTTATAGAATGGATCATCAGATCTCGCCAGGAAGTAATCACGGAGGCTGCACACTTCGCGATTATGCATGGTGAGCGCGCTCAAGAAGCCACGACCACCATGCTTCCGCGACAAGTACAGCCTCATTACCGACGATCTCGGATGATGCATCCTATGGGACGTCATGGTAGTGCGGACTTTTCTATCCAGGGCGTTAAGTTCAGTCTGAGTCCACCTGAGTATGCCAAAGGTATACATGAGGACAGGCATGACCCAGCCGTTATATGCGTGTGCCTTATTCACACCGGACAAAAGGCTGTTAAGCACTTTGGTCAAGCGTGCATAAAACACGTCGCAAACTGACTGTTTCATACCAGTCTCATCGATACCGATGTTTTGTGACATACCCAGGTATCGGTATGTTTCAGCCTCGGAAAGGGTCCTTAAGTTGACGGGCATAGATAAGTCTACGCCCTCAGAGTTAGCAACCCTTCCCCTTTCAACATGGAGGACCGCACACTTATCCGTCCCAAGCTCCATTCCAATGGAATTGCTAAATTCACAAGTGATGTTTAGCAATTCCATAAGATGGGAGCGACTGGAGGCAAATAACTTGAGGTCATCCATATAGAAAAGGTGGGTCACTTTTTTCCCTCCTTTCCGTAGCTGAAATCCCCTCCCGGAGCCCTCCAGTAAGGTACTGAGAGGGTTCAGAGAGAGGCAGAACCAGATTGGACTCAGACAATCGCCCTGGAAGATACCCCTTCTTATCCTTATGTGGTTCTCCGCAGCCATCATCCGCTCGCCCAGATGACAAAGGATCGTACTCCACTGCCCCATACACTGCTCGAGGAAGTCTCTAACTGTACAGTCTATCTTGTACAGCTCGAGGACTCTCTTTAGCCATGTATGGGGCACCGAGTCGAATGCCTTTCTGTAGTCTATCCAGGCGGCGGAGAAGTTCCGACGGTTGCGTTTCACCACTTTGCCAATGACCGCGTCAATGAGGAGTGGTTCCTTGGTTCCACGACCACCGCCCCGACATCCATTTTGAGCGCGCGACATCGCCTGATTTGAGTCCAGGTGACAAGTGATTCTCGCGCTCAAAATGGATGTTAGTGTCTTGTATATGGTCGGTAGACACGTGATGGGGCGGTATTTGCTCGGGTCTGTGGTACCCTGGTCTTTAGGAACCAAATGAGTGATCCCAGTAGTGAAGAGGCTTGGGAGCGACTTCTGGTCGAGAGCCTCTTGAAACTGTCGGGCGAGCACAGAGTGACACACCATGAACCCCTTCAGCCAGTAGTGATGCAGCCCGTCAAGCCCCGGACTTTTCCAGTTCGGGGCCCTACGGACCGCCTCAGCTACGTCATCCGGCGTTATGATGACGGGGTCCATGGGCGTAATACCCGCACACTGACTCGCCACAACTTCCGTCCAAGGGCCCTCGCTGTGGTTTACGGGCTCTGACCACAGGCCGCGCCAGAATGCTACAGTGTCGGCCTGATTCGGTGCTGGACCCGTTCCACTTACCATTGGTCGCTCCAATGATTCATAGAGCCTCTTCTGATCACTCTGGAAGAGACGATTCTGGTTGAACCGTGTCGACCTCTCGGTATATCGCCGAATCCGCTTTCCCCAAGCAGCGATTCTCTGCTTCAGATCATCTATGCGCTCCGTCAGTTTTTGCGTTATATCCGGCTGGGACAAACTGACATTTGTCCCAGCAAACGCCATCCTGACGGTGCGCACAATTCTTGGCCTGTTGTTGCCTGATCTGAAGCATATCAGTCTGCCGATGAGAGCTCTAGCCTTTGCGATACGTTCCTCAATTCTTCTTCTCCATGCTGGGATAGCGCTACTATGGCCAGTAGCGGGTCCAGCCGTGGAAACCTTGGCGCCTATGATACGGCAGACTGCCAGCGCGGCGCCAAAAAGAATTGAGTCCGTCTCGCAAAGGTCCCGGCTGGCTTCCAAATAGGTCACCAGCATTGGGTTCAGAGCCCTCACGACAGCCCGATTCCGCTTGCTTAGGGCTATGCGGGGAAGTCGCGGTCGATTTTCGAGAGGCGTACTGCGCGTTTCCACAATCGCCTCTTCCAATGTACTCCTTATATGCTCTAATTCCAGTTCCTGGGTGACTGTTCCATCATCGCTTGAATCAGCCACAACTGGGGTATTCACGGCGGCATCCACGTTTGCGGGTTGCTCTACCATTTGTGGCGCCGCATCCTCAGCCGTAGCATTCTCATCCGACGAGGGAACAGCCTCACGTCGTAGCCGTTCGAGTTCGGCGACATCAAATATATTTGAGCGCAAGATATACCGAACTCGGTCTGCCAGGTTTTGCTCTGTGACGGTTAAAGATGGCTCCAGCTCAGCAAAAAGACGATGCATCCTAGCCCGATACGCCAAACATCCAGTTTCTCCCCCTTTCGCCCTAAAATACGCCCGCAATGCGTTGCTGTTCATCTGGGTTGTCCAACGCATGCGGCGTACTCCACCAGAGGCGGGTGCCGATTGCTGGGCCCGCGAAGACCCTGCCGACACCAAGCCAGCTGGTGGGGATGATGGATGCGAGGGGCTGCTGGGTGGTCGTGCAGCACCTCGCGCTCGGCTGGCGGTTCGCATGCTGCCGCGTCCAGCGCCAGCTCCAGACGCGCTATATTCACTATATTATTATTATTATTATTATTTGGGGTATCTATATAGTTTTCTCATCTGGTTGGGTTCTATAAATATATAATTATAAATGAAAATGAAAAGATAAATATACATAAATATCAATAACATAAAATATATATAAAAATACATATATAAATAAAAGCCCAACCGGATGGAGGCCCTCGGCAGGGGAGACCAAACGGCCGAGGGTTAGGGGGAAAGGGAAAGAAACCGGCGGACGATGCGGGCGGTATCGAGGAGCACCGCCTTCTGCATTTGAGCCCGGAGCGGTCCGCCACGTAGTCCCAGTCGCCTCAGATGACCCGAGAGGCTGACTGGGATTGCTCAGTGACGGATAGAGATGGCTCCAGCTCTGCAAAAAAGCGATGCATCCGAGCCCGATACGCCAAACATCCAGTTTCTTCCCCTTTTGCCCTAAAATACGCCCGCAGTGCGTTTTCATTCATTGATTTAGACCAACGCATGCGACGTGCTCCACCAGCGGCGGGTGCCGCTTGCTGAGTCCGAGAAGACCCAGCCGACAACAAGCTTTCTGGTGAGGATGATGGATGCGGGGGGCTGCTAGGTGGTCTTGCAACACCCCGCGCTCGGATGGTCGGCCCGCATGCTGTCGCATCCAGCGCCAGCTCCAGACGCGCCCTGGCGACCTCCAGGCAGCGGCCCTTTGCGCACTATCTTTTTTTCCATCATCCATAATATGGGCGTCCATTAACGGGAGACGCCCAGGCCCGGCACCGTATCGTGGACGGCCATAAGCACAAACGGGCCTTTACACCCTGAATTCTGCCGAGGCACGGCGCTCACACCTCTCGCAAGGCGCTGACTGACTACGTTGACGTAGCAGTTTTGTCACTTAACTGTTACGTCAGCGGGCGATAGGGTCGTCAATTCCATACGTTATTATTATTATTATTGTTATATACGTTTCATTCCTGAGAGACTTAAGTAGCAGTTAATCCGTCGTGCTGGTCGAGTGTTTGTTGACGCAGTATCTATGAAATATTTTACTCCTCATTTCTCAAAATATCCTTACTTTGTTTTCCTTTTTTACAGAATAAGCTTGATAAATGAGCGCACATTACCTACCGCTAATGGAAGTGAATGCTGTGGCACGTACACAAGTACATCTATCCTCGACCTAATCCTAACCTAACCTCCTACTGCTCCTATCCTATCCTATACTAACTTAAAATTGCAAGTAACAATTCCAGCGGTGTTGGTGAACGTCGAAGCCGGGTTGCTCGCGTATTGTTAAATTTAAGGAGAGCGCTTAGCCCTTAAATTACCATTCTTAAACACGTGCTGTAAGGAATTTTTTATCAGTTCCCTGTGGCCTTCTTTCTGTGATGTTGGTTGCAGATGTCCACAGGCTGCATTAGTCAGTGTTGCTCACTATCACGTGGCTTTTGTTTTTTTTTTTGTTTTTTTTTTATATAGAAAAGCGAGCAAAAGAGCATGCGGCTCACTTGTTGGAAAGTGTCTACCGGCTCCCACGAACAACTCTATCACTGGGGGAAAGTTTGCTTCTTAGTTAATATAATATTGTCACTGCAGGTAGTTGGATGATATATCGCGTTACGAAAGAATATTAACGAAATCGGCCATGCTTATAGAAAGTTTTTATTTCAGTTTTTATTTTATATAGGTATGACAAACGATCTCTGTCCATCAGTATTTTTCGTGAAATCGAATAATTGATAAAATTAAATTATTGATGATGATTTTGATATATCTAAACGACGCCACTTTAAGGGATCCCACCTCACCAAGGATATTATAGAATAGCTTTTCTACACATATTTTTACCTGGTACAACCATGTTGTTGCTATATTTGTAACTCGTGTTTGTAACAGAAAACCAACGTAAAATAGCAGCTTAATGCTGTTATGTTTCGTATGGTGAGTGTAGATAATCGAACTCAACTCTTTTTCCGAAAACGAGGCATTCCATCTTAGTCCTCGCTAACGCATCCAAATTTTGGTACTTAATCGAGGATAGATGTAGATGTCTGTGGGCCACATCCTGCACTTACCATGAGGTGGACTGTGTGCTCGCTTATCACCCTTACTCTACAAAAAGAACACACCAGGTGGTGGGGCTACTTGTCTGCCCAGCAGTTCGTCAGTATGCCACCACCACCTTCTTTCCTAACTCTCCTTCAATAAGTTATTTTGCAATATTCAGCCAAATTTGCAGAGAAGGCTTAAAATAAGTAATGAAGGCAAATGGTGAAGAAATATTAATTAAAAAAAATCTCAAACATTCTAATTTTTTATCTTCAATCAATAGTATAATCATTGACCGAAGCTTTTAAAAACATAAACATAACGTAAACACTCACGCCTGTTACCCAGAGGGGAAGGCAGCGACTACAGACTTCCATTTAGCACGATCCTGACATACCTCTCTCGCCTCTTCCACATCCATATACCTACGCATACATGCTCGTCGGTTAAGGGTACTCTTAATTTGGCCCATTTTTAGTATATCGCCAATTTGGTCGACAAACTTTCGCCTAGGACGTCCCTTTCCGACTCTTCCATTCACTACTGCAACATATATTTGCTTTGACAGTCTTTCCTCATTCATTCTTTCTACATGACCAAACCACCGAATCATTCCTTTCTTAATCGTGGTCACCGTATCATCTTGCAAACCACACTCTTCTTTTATCACACAGTTTCTCACCCTGTCACTCATATTCAGCCCTAACATACTCCTTAACGACCGCATTTCTACTGCATTTATTCCACTCTCGTGTTTCTTCTGCCACACCCAACTTTCACTACCATACGTTAAAGCAGGGACTAATACAGCATTTTGAATTGCCATACGTGCCTTTTTTTGACATATTCTGACTTTTCACAATAGAGTGTAGAGCTCCATTTACTTTATTTCCTGCATTCACTCGTCGTTCAATATCCTTATCATATCTACCATCCCTGCTGAATACACATCCTTATTATACGAACTCATCCACTTGCTCAATTAACTCTCCTTCTATTCTTATTGTTCATACCGTTTTGCTTTCTTCTCTTTCCAAATTATCTTTTAAATTCAAAATTCATGGTAATGCATTAAGTACCGCTCGACCCTTATCAGTTAAAATAACTGATAAGGGTCGAGCGGTAACCAAAAACGTTATTGCCCATAAATCGCATTCAATTTCGGATAATTTCAAATAAAAGTGGAATAACCTTATTTACCTCGTATTTTTAAAAACTACAATAACGGTATATCATTATTTATATATCTGAACTTAAGTTTAAAATTTGGCTACACTATGAAAAATAACCCTGTATAGCAGTGCGTGCACTGCTATGTTCCTTGCTAAGATATACCCAATATATGGAGACCCGGTACAATTACAGTCGGTGAGGTATTCCATGTTAGTCCAGAGGTGACAACGCATATGTAGGAGATTTGTTTAAAGTTGGCTATAGCTGTCCATGGACTAACATGTCCAGCGTGGGAGCGGGAGCGAACGGTCCTTATACACCGAATCGGTCAGAACCTCTCCCTGAAAGCAGTCGTGTCGGCGATGCTGACCAGAACTCGGCATGGAGGGCCGTAGCCACCTTCTGTGAATTCATTATGATCCAGAAGGAGGCTGCTGCGCGGGATCGGGAGAGGGCGGATCTGCTCGAAGACGACGTCGCCAAGGCGTTCGTCACGTCCCTCCTATTATAAACGGTATTCCTTTACCAGAAGCGGAGCCTCTGGGGCTGCAGAAGCTTGGAGCTTGGGCCCCAAATGCCTAGAGATGTAACCCCCGATGAGGACGATATCTTGGAAGTGGTCCGGAAACATCGTGACCACACTGCGAGGGTGCTGGGGGCAGAAACAACTGCCCACGGGACGTGCTTCCAATAAGGCAAAGCGAGAGACCTCCCGCCCGAGAGAGAACCCGGGACCCTCATATATACGCTGATAGTGACCACCGTCGGGTTTTGGCCGGTAAGAGTCCGACATTACCTTTCTGTTTCCCCGCAGCAAAAGGTATGCATGAGGATTTCACCACGATAAAAAAGACGTCCAGGGGCTCCAGCAACCACTTACCGTCAGGTGGACGGTAACCCCCGTGAGTTTGTTGCTCACTTCAATTTTATCAAAAATAATAATTTATCACAATTTAACACAAAAATTAGCGTTTTAGCCCAAATTGACCTTGAATGGACTCTGCTTCACTGGCCAGTATGTACGCCACAGTTTTACCTCATATTTTTTTCGATTAAATCATATACAATTGTTAGTTTTTGTTTGAAATAACGTGATATGACTTAAAAATATTCTAACATTGTTATAAACAATTGGAAAAACATGGCGCTTTTAACACGTCTTTTTTTCAAAGAATATTATTATTTATTCACAAAAAATGTATTTGATTTTAATATATAATGCCTTTTTTTATAAAAGTAAAAGTGACAAACGAGCACACAGTCCACCTGATGGTAAGTGGATACTATGGCCTATTGACATCTACATATATCCTCGATTACAAATCAAAACGCAGATGCGTTGTCACCCGTGAGGACTAAGATGGAATGCCTCGATTCCAGTAAAACTTGTCTCCGGTTCTCCTCACTCACCATACGAAACACAGCAGCATTAAGCTACTATTTCACGCTGGTATTCTGTGAGAGCGTGGTCCTTCCCCGGTCGAGCCGACCCATTCGTGCTACAACCATAATATAACTGCACCGTGGCTCTA